TACCTTTGTTTTTTTTTTTTTTTTTTTTTTTTTTTTTTTTTTGGTACGGGGGATTGAACTCAGGTCCTTGCATTAACGAGGCGGGCTGCGGAAACACTGAGCTAAAGCCCTGGCCCTACCTCTGGCTTTTAACTTTCTAGTCCCTCTGTCTGGCTGCTTGTCAATTTTCTGGTTTCTGAGTACAGATCATTCTCTATCCTAAAACTAACTGCACTGCAGGACTCTTTTTTGTCTTCTGCACCAATTATATGGGTCATATATAGTCACTTATAGTCTATCCAGAAAGATGCAAACTCCATGAGACTCGATCTAGCTTATTTACATCCTGTATCTCCAATACCAAGAAGGTATCCAAAAATATTTTACTGAAAAAAGGAGTAAACAAATGAAAATACATAGCTGTAATTATAAGGTTCACCTGTGCCCCATTATACCAAGAGAGAGTATACAGAATTCTACACACACACTGACAAGGAGTAGGATTCTAAACACAATATTCACTCACAGTCACTCAATACAATATTGAAAATAGACTACTTCTGCAATACGTAGGCACTCCAAGAAACAATAAGAAAGGTACAACACCCAATTTTCCCTCTTTCTCTTCAATGGGACCCATTTCTGTTGGTGAAGATACTAATTAAAGACAGTTTGGAGAGTCAAGTGAAGTAGAACAAGGTTACTACGCATTTGGCCAACAAACATGAATTAACACATAAACTAAACTAAGAAAGTTTAAGCACTAAGTCTGCACATAGTATTAGACCAACCACTGGCCCTTTGCAAGTTGGGAGGTTCTTGGGCCTAGGATTTAGTGCAGTGGTTCCACCACCTGATTCACAAGCGCAAGGCCCCAAGTTCGATCCCCAGTAAAGACAACAAAAATAAGTTGGGATGTCTTGAACAGGAAAGAATGAAACTTGGTGCTCTCAGTGCTTCCTTCTATGTCTCTGTTCTCTGCCATGCATCTTTACTTGGGTGCGTAAGACACCCCCTTGGGAAGGTCTGAGCAGAGACCCTGTGTTCTCCATGCGTTAAGTATGCTTCCGCCTTGACAGGAAGGGTTTCACTGCCCTTCCAGTGCTACTGTCTGCCCTGTAAATTTTAGATTTCTGTCATCGGTGCTTTGCCCTGAAACCTTCATTGTTGTTTGAGCATAGCACCTGTTTCCTGGGTCTCTAAAAATATAAACATACATGTCTTTAAGATTTGCTTTCTTGTGGTAACAATAAATATAGAAGAAAAAAATAAACTCATTCATCCCTTTCAGGCCTCAAGTTCATTTCAGGAAGTATATTTTTAGGTAACAAACTATTTTGAAATTCTCAATGCGTCCTAGACCAAAAGCTCGATGGTTAGCTAAAAATACAGGCAGAAATATTCTCTGAACATTGTGTTAAATTTGGGACTAACAAAACAATGAATATATATATTTATTTTTTGACAATGGTTATATTTGGATTCATTGGTAAAACAATTTATTTAACCTTTTAGGTTTCCCTATAAGACATTATCAAAACAAAAGAAACAAAAAAGTGTGACTGTTGTTTTCTTTGACTTTTTTTCTTTAAGGTTTTTTAAAATTTTTTGGTACAGGGTATGTTTTTGACAAAAAATTTACTAGCTGACTGAGAAAGTTTGGTGTTTTTTAAAATACAAAACAAACCCCTTTGCCTTGGAATTTGGTCTTCCAGCTTAGATTAGTGACTATAACTTTGAGGATAGCATATAATCAATCACTTGGGGAGCTTGATAACTAATGAAGCCGGGTCCCACTGAGATATTCTGATTTAATTTTCCTCAAGGGCAGCCTGAGCACTGGGGATTTTAGAAGCTGTCCAAATGACTCTAAAGTTCACCCAAGGCTGAGGACCTTGACCAAAAATAGGTTGGGGGGAAAAAAAAACACTTCCTCTTCCAACACATCATTTATATGATGGCAAGAAAATAGCTTCTCCATAAAGCTGAAAGAAGTTCCCTGTGAGAAACACACACCTAAAGCGATGTGCTTATCTTATTTACACTTTGGTGGAAAGGGGTCCTTTTCTGGGCTGGCCAATCCTTTTCTAGCAAATGCCTAGAAAAGTGAGAGAAGCGACAGGAGTGAGGAGGTAGAAATAAAAACCAGATGCGACAGTGGCAATCACTCCTGCGGATGTGGTGTAGATCAAACACCGGGAAATCAGAATCGAGATGCAAGAGACAAGAAGGACCATCACAAAAGATAGGGGAAGGAGAGAAAGGAAAGGAGGGACATCAGTCTGCAGCGCTCAGGAGCCACTTGCATTGCTGTCTGCAAATGTGGCTCTGGAGATGAGCAGGTAGGTAGAGCAGATGTAGTGCAGTGCAGGCATCCGAAGAGAGGTCCAAACAAAGCCTCTTCGTTGAACTTTGGAAAGAAGGCAAGCCACCTACACCCTGTTCTTGGAGACATAAGCATGTGAGTGTGCAAAGGAAAATCACACCCACTGAGCGCCTAGTGTGTACAAGGAAATGTGCCTAAGTCAGGCTCATCTCGTAAGCACTCAGCCAATGACAAGTTTTTCTCCTTGATACAATGAAAGCTACCACCATGAGGTCTTGACCAGCATTTTTTCTTTTCTTTATGCAGGAGATGTTCACCACAACTCACCAAGAAGTGACTCCTGTTAGTTCACCCCAGGAGGCTCCCCATTTTAACAATTCTGGCCAGTCCCTGAGGGCATACAGGTTTTCAGCCCTTGTATGAAGCCAATATTTTCTTTCCTTTCCACAACAGAGGCCTTTGGGCTCTTCGTATGGTGGGACTGTCAGTTAAGGTCATAGCACAAAGCTACTCTTCATCTTTGTTGGGATCACCTAATTCTGATAAAATCAGGTCACTCTGGAGTGAGGAGGAGAGAAATACATATAAATTTTGCTCGCCATTTTGGAGAGTTCACAGACTCCCTGAAAGCCAGTAAACCCCAATTAAAGAATTTCAGGCAGGCTTATCTCAGAGTTCTAGGGAGTCCCTGATGAGATATTAAGCAGATACAGTGCTAATCAGGGTGGGGTGGAGGGTGAAGAGGGTGGTGGTGTTAGGGAGGTGGTCATTAACTGTATGCAACAGTGCATCTCTGTCTTGCAATCGACAGGAAGAGATGGTACCAGTCATGGCCTTATCACCAGAAAACATCTTCTAATGGTTGATACACAATATTTGAGAAGCCAGAAGAATGGAAAGGCTAGGAAATAGAGACATGTGAATGGCTAGGAACAACGATATTATTCTAAACAATTCAACAAAACCCATCTAATTGACTTTAGCAAACTCTAACCAAACTGCAAAATTACTTTCAATCTAATTGTTCAAGTACTGTAGGTATTTTCAGTTAAGATGTTCTATTAAGGTGGTGAGTTTAAATTACTATAGATCCTCTGTAAGCAGCTGACTTTCCTTAGGGAATTTTTTACCCACCATAGGCAAATTAATTATCCATAGTTCCTTAAAAAGAAGTTCCAATAATAACATCTCTCACCTAGAAAGTCATCTGCTAAAGGAAGTGAACCTAGCAGCTTCTCTCAGCACATGACAGTATCACAAGGTCCATCATATTTCACTTCTCCACAAACAAGCCCATGAGTAATGTCAAGACCTTTATCCCTGGTCACACAGCCTTCCTCATTTCATCTCACATTTTCCTCAGGTTCACTGCCTTGTGCAAGAAGTTCCAGGTATGGAGAATATGAATTAAGTGCTCAGCTGGGTCTATTCCTGGAATAGTATTGTCTTAGAGGGTCAGAGATGAGCAACTTAATAAGGTTTAGTCTTATTCCAGCCACATATCGGGAACTTTGGATAGAACTTTGAAATGGTGGCTACTATTAACTGAGCATTTGATAAAAGTTTCAAGATTTCACAAATGATCCTAAACACTTTGCCAGAAATACAATCACATAACTTTGAACTTGTGCTTCTATGTATTATTGTTTTCTGAGGTGTTTTGGGGAACTTAAGAATGTATTCATTCCACAAACACCTGTAGATGTTTTGCTTAGTGCTATGCATTTCACATCAGGACCACTGAATTTAACCCATTTGAATGCAGTATATCAAA